GGGAAGGGGCAGTTAAGGCGACAACAGAAACCATACAGCAAATCCCCAAAGTGTCTGAACAACAACAACAAAAAAGCAAAAAACAAAAACAACAACAAAAAAATAAACCTGCAAACGATGTGGAGAGTACCATTGTATGAATTTATTACTTGGCCGATAACGATTGGTGAAAAATCCCCACAGCCACCACGTTGTCTCCATTTAAAAAGTGAAAACAAAGCAGAGTTACAGCCACCTGTTTGTCTTCAAGTCGCCACCCAGGACCTCGTGGTCCTTAAGTTGGGAGGAGAACACTCCAAGGTTCTGGCACCCACAGGCCACACTGAATCGTGGGCAGCAGAACGGGGTGACTGAGATGATCAGGTGCTAAGGATCCAGAAGATTCTGGCAGACTCTGAGTCTGCAGCTAGGCAGGAGGACACAGTGGTATTTCTAGTCAAGCCACTATCCACACTGCATTCCCAGGCGACCACTGTAAGTGGATAGCTGTCCAAACTGCGCCCCTCATCAGGCACCCTGCAATGGCTGCCCATGTGCCAGTTCCAATCACATAGGCATCTTCAAGCCTCCCGAGGTGGGTCCTCTGTTACATGGTTCAAGCTGTGGCCTTCCTTACAAGCTTGCTCCAGCTCTACCCAGCCCCTACATCCCTTCTGAGGTTGTGATGGTTTGAGTAAGAATGACCCCATCACTTCACATATTTGAATGCTTAGTCACCAGGGAGTGGGACCCTTTAAAAGGATTAAAAGGTGTGGCCTTGTTGGAGGAGTGTGTCACTGGGGTAGATGCTAAGCCAAATCAGTCTCAGTCTCATTCTCTCTCTCTGTTGCCTGCTGATCCAGATGCAGCACTCTCAGCTACCTCTCTAGCTCCACGTCTGCCTGTGCACCACCATTCTCCTCATCATGATGATCATGGACTAAACCTCTGAAACTGTAAGTGAGGCCACAATTAAATGCTGTCTTTTGTAAGAGCTGCCTTGGTCATGGTGCTTCACAGCAAGAGAACCAGTGACTAAGACAGACGGAGGTCCACACTGCCTCTTCCACCTCAGCTCCAGCCAGCATCACCTCCTCTCAGAAGGTAGCAGAGTGTCATCATTTCCCCACCACCAGCAGCTGCCAGAGCCCACATTTGCTATGCTTGTACTACTCCAGGTCAATTTTGGGGAGACTGGGTCTTCTCCGTAACTATCATCCTACAAGACAGAGAATGCATGCTATTTGTGTTTGTAATTTAGTCTGGCCTGCACACTTAGACGTCTAGACAATGGGTGTGCATGGTGTGGGCAGCTCCTTCTGGCTGCCCACAGTGCCCGCTTTAGTAGCCACTGGTGGTACAAACCACCCAAGGGCTACAATCCCATGCTAATAACTGGCACGGGCCATTTCCATCAGAAGAAACAGTCCCACAGAGCCTGCAGTATCCAGCCATTTATGGTGACAAGGATCCACACCATAGATTTTAGGTAATAATAACAAATGATGGCTTTGGATGGAGATTAAAGCAAATACAAACAAAGGAAAGCTCCATGGAGTTCCCCCCTTTATTACTGGAAATGAGAAAAGGCCCTGCCTGGAAACCGAACACTGACTGGTCTCTCCCTCTTACCATATTTCGAAAATCATGGACCCCAGACAATCTGAAGCAGTCAGGGGGCGGGATGGGGAGTGCAGGTCAGTATATTTATTGTTTCCAGATGTTTGCGACTGAGATTCGCTGCAGGATTTCACAGAGTAACACGGGGAGGCATGAGGGGTGGGCAGAGCAGGATGGGGAAAGAAAGCCACAGGAGCAGGGAACCCTACACAGGAGGACAGCACCTCGCTGATTACCTCAGGGGACAGAGACAGACCCTTCACCACAGCAGTGTGGCCTCAGAAGAGAGTGGAGACATTTGTTTTAAACTAATGGGAGGTCACAACAAGCCTGCAGATAGCTGCAGCGCCAGCAAAAGATATGGTCTCATCTACCAATGGTGAGTGGACAGCCATTTGCTTGGGTTCTACCATGCAGATCTTTGCTGCAACAAGGCTGTAAGTGTGTACAGAGACCCTGGCCACAGGCTGCCAAGTTCTAGTTGGAACCATCCATTTGATTTATAGCAACATCTGCTGCATGAAACTATCATAGAAATAGAAGTGAGAGGAGAAAGCTTGGGGGATATCCCGTTTTCACTTCGAGAAATGCAGACCTCTGCTAGTTTATGACAGACAAGGCTTCCACAAGGAGTATATATAGCAGAAACACAGAGTAGAAAAGGCCTAAACATGCAGCCATCTCCTCAGGTGAAGTCCTCCTGTAGTAACACGCTTTCACCAGAACAAAACATTTCCCTCCCTACTGTGGACCCCATTTCATGATGTGAATCACTGAGCACCACTCCAGGCAACACCTTTTCCATGTCATTTGTCACAATAACAACCACAGACGCTAGCATACCATGTAAATAATAAGTGACAATGGATGGGAAAGAGAATATTTGTGTATAAAATACTGCTAATATATTTGAGAGCCATTTGCTTGCAAATATAACTAAGATTTTGCTTAGGATTAATTCATAAGAAAACAAAATATTCTTTATTTACTATTTAGGTATATAACAAGTTTAAAAATTACTTTTTCATTTAGCAGGGTGACATTTGTAATATTTATGGTGTTTGTTCTGTTGTTTTTCCATTTTGGTGGGTTATGTACGTATGGTATGTGGCGGATGCATGTTCACACGTGTGTGAGTTTATGTCGACTGCTTTCTGATCACTCCCTATTCTACTTACTGAGGTTGGGTTTCTCCCTGAGCCCAGAGCTTGCAGATTCCTCTAGTCTAACTAGCCATCTTGTCCCAGAGATCCTGTTTTCTCCTCAGGTGCACTAGGATTACATCACACTCCACCAGTTTTTATGTGGGCACAGGGATCTGAACTCAGGTCCTCCTGCTTGCATGGAAACTTCCTAATTCACTGAGCTATCCCCCAGCCTGTTTTTGTTTTGCTGTTTTGTTTTTGGAAACAGCGTCTCACTGCATAGTCCCAGCGGGCCTTGAATTGTCATCTTCTTGCCTTTACTAGGCAAGAACCAAGTACTAGGATTGCACTTGTCTGTGCCTGCCTAAAAGACAGGCCTGCTTTTTTTGAGACTAAATAAAACCTGAAAGTTACTATGACAATCTTTTATTTCTTTCTCTTTTGCCATTTGCTTGATCTTATCACTTTCAGAATAGAGTAAGTCTTCCAAGTAGGAAAGATTTATGTAGCAGGCATATGCTGGTAAATCAGCATACGGACTGGCTAAAATGCTGATAAATGTCTACAGCTAGAGACCTTCTCTGGAATGCAGGCATGCACACCTGCTGACGAGTAGACACTCAAGTCAACTTCTCTGCCATGAAACTGCACATGGCAATATCAGAGAAACTCCCAAAACACTCATATGAAAAAGAATCCCCATTTCTAAAAAAATAATAATAATAATAATAATAATAATAATAATGCTTTGGAAAGACAAATAGAAAGTGAGGACCTAAAAACAACTACTGTCAAATTTGGCATAGGTCAATCAACTTAAAAAGACAAAACAAAATCCAGCTAGGGAGCCCAGCGGGGGCATGGAAAACATGGAAAAAGGCATTGGGGAAAAATCTACATAATTCGGGACTGAGATTTCTTTGTTCTTATCTAAAAAAAAAAAAAAAAAAAGAGGAACAGCAGGTGATACATAACGGGTGTCGTTTGTTTCAAGCAAAAGCACTTGGAGCCCCTCAGCCGACAATCACACCATGCAACAACAAAGAGCTGGGATATGCTGGCAGACTGAATGGAAGACTGTAATGAGGTTTTGGTTTCTTCAAAACTCTGCTCTGTTATATAAATATGTTTTTGTCTTAATCCCAAGTGTGGCATTTTAGTTTGGGCTTTAGTTTGTCCATAGCTGAAAACTGCCTCCTGAGGGGTGTGGACTTTGACAGCTGGTAATAGCTTGCCTCCTGCAGCACAGAGAGGGGTGTGGTCTAAGGAGCTGAGGGATACAAACAGGAGAGCTCAGAAAGAGAAGGTGTGGTGGCAGTTTGGAGAGACCAGAGATGGGTGGTGTGGCAGTTTGGACAGACAGAGAGAAACATTTCAATGTGGCAGCTTGAAGGAAACTGCTTGCTGCATTTGCTGTGGACACAGATTGGTAGAGCCTGCTACCCCCAACCCCCAAATCCTCATCAACACTAAACAGCTGGGAGAAGCAAAGGGGTCTGCGTCCCCTGTCCCCACCAACCTTCTCTCTTCCTACCTAGGGTTGGGGAGTTGGAAGGGAGAGGCTTTAAGGAACTGCAAATAAAAAGAGTTTAAAAAACGAGCACACCACCATTCATAATATTGAAGTTTAAATATTTTAAACATGAATGGTCTATTTTCAATAATTAAATGCACACTGGAGGGATGACTCCGTGGTTAAGATCACTTGCTGATCTTCCAGAGGACGAGAGTTTGGTTCTCAGCACCCGTACTGTGTGGCTCACCACCAACTCTAACTCCAGGTCCAGAGAGTCCAACATTCTTTTCTGACCTCCTCAGGTGCACACACATGCATGCACAAACAAAAACAGGTTCCCAACATGGACAGAAAGAAACTAAGATAACTGTCTAGGTGGGCCTGTATAAGATAGCCATCTGGTAGACCTGTATATGAGGCTAGAGACACAGATCAGAGGGAACCTGCATGGTCACCGCTCTTTGAAAACAGCCATACTGAACAGATCACAACCCAGTCACAGGATGAAATGATCTCGTACTGAGCCTCTCAAAAATAAAATCACAGTGGATCCAGGCTCACGCTATGTCTACACATTTCTACAGGCCTTGTTTTTAATGTATTACTAATACACATAAAGACAGAGGGCCCTGCCATTAGACCAGAGTTCTTTCAATGGCCCTCCTGTCTTTCAGCATCCAAGCCTGGACTTGTTTCTGCCCCACAAGGATGTTCATGTGGACACTGGGGTGGGAGCTTACCTTCTGTCGCTGTTGTATGTTGGCTATCGTGTCCGGCTGGAAGTCTAGCTTATCTGTGCGGCACAGCTTCCAGTAGAGGATGACAACAATCACAGTGACCACCAACACTGGGATGACCACACCAACCACGACCCATAGGTTGCTGCTCTGTGACTCCGGGGATGGCCTCTTCACCCTGTCCACAGCTGCAGATGAGCACAGGAGGAGGAAAAGCTCTCAGCAACACACTCTTCTCTCACTTGCAGGGCAGAATAAGCCTTCCTCCACGAGACTTAAGGGCTTGTCATTCAGCTCAAGACATGAAAGTAAACAAGTACACTTGAATGTCAAACACGCCAGGGATCATAATGACACATATGTGTCTGAGGGCAAAAGCTTGGTTGATTCTGGTCTCCTGGTGTCTAGTTTAGTCTTCCCACTCCACAACATCTCAAAATGGTTCTCTTCAAATGTGGAAAGAGAAGCTACATATTCAAGACCCAGCTGTGAACATGGAACATAATGGAGCAGGAATCACCTCCCAGGTGTCTGGGAAGAGCATGAGCTAGACTTGGAGATCTGGGAAGGAAGCCCTTCCCTACTCCACCTCAGTCTTCGCTTTCTCTCTCTCTCTCTCTCTCTCTCTCTCTCTCTTTCTCTCTCTCTCTCTCTCTCTCTGTGTACCTACAAGTGTTTATTGATGGTGCCAGACAATACTCTAAGAGCAAGATATGCTGATGAACAAGCAGACAAAACCCCTCAAAGTGCACTGGTTCTAGTAGCGGAAGGGAAAATCACCAAGAAATGAATCCCCAAATAATGGTATCTGATGGCTTGTGCTGTAGAGCAGAGGGAACAGCCAATGAGCTACAGAACCTGAACAAAGGCAACTGGAAATGTCCACCTCAGCATCTGATGTCATGGGAGACATGATACCATTCATAGTTACACTAACCAAAACAGTTGGGGTGGAAAAGCCCAACTCATCAATAGCCGAACAGATAATGTGGTACACCCACCACAGCAGACCACTATTCAGCTTTTAAATAGGAAGCAGGCTGCTGTAGCCATGGCTCACTGGGAAAGGATACCTGCTGGGACCTGAGTTCAAATCCCAAGTACCCATGTCAAAGAGGGGCACAGTCAGTCCCAACTGTAACTCCAGCACCATGTGGGGCAGACACAGGAGATGGCTGGGATTTAGTGGCCAGCCTAGCTCCAGCTTCAGTGAGAGACCTGTTTCAAAGGAACTGGATGGAGAATGATAGAATAGCATACCTGTTTCACACACAAACACAACAAAAAAGACAAAAGAAGGGAATCTCAAAATAGCCACAACAGGAATGAACTTTGAAAACATTCTCAGTGAAAGAAGCCAGACACACAAGGATAAAATTCATACCAGGCACCTAGAACAGTCAAAATCAAAGACAGAAAGAAAAACAGTGGCCGCTAGGACCTACCCAACGGGCAGAGCTTCTGTCTGGGATACAGCAAGCTCTGGACATTGAGGGTGGAAGTGGCCACACACACTGAGCACAGCCACTGCCACCTGTTCCTATGTGTCAAGATGGCTTTAAAAGGCCAATAATGCTACATATGAAATTTTTCTTTTGTTTTTAAGATTATAATGACATTAATTTCTCCCTTTCCCTTCCTCTAACACATGTACTTTACTACATTTTTTTTTTAATGATACGGAGGACTTTTGGGCTTAACTAAAGGGAGTGTTTGTTGGGAAACTGAAGCCTCAACATGTGATTTCAGGGTGTTGTCTTCCTGACCTGTGGCTTTCTTTGAGACCTTGAAACACGGGTCTTCATGGAAACTTTTATTAACAGGTATCAATTATTAGGTAATATTACAGGGAACTGTACTCTGGACTGCACGCCTTTGGACTATATGCCCTTGGAATCTCCTGTCTGCACTCACAGCCATGCCCACATTAGCCTCTCATCTTTCACGCCTCAGATGACCCCTCTCCAGTTTCCTCCGCTGGCTGAGCCCTGCCCTGTGTCCTCTCCATTCCTCGATGATCCTCTGCAGCACCCACCTATACTCAGCCACTGTCCTTCCCTGTCATACCCCAGGTGGCTGCTTCATAACATTCCTGAGATAATGCTCCTACCTTTAGCCCAAAAAACGGTGCCTTGCTGTCCTCTTAAAATGCCCCTTTGTGCATCAAAGTCTCAGCTTTAGGTACTGTACAACTCCTCCCTGCTCAGTCACCCCAGATCCCAAGTCTTGTCTTTTCAAACACCCCTAAAATGCAACTAAGTCTTGCGTTCCTTCCTGTCCCAGGAGCTAATAGCTGCTATGGGATCAAAATATGTCTGCTCGGAGATGTGCCAACGACACAAAGATATTTATTTTTACTTCATATGTATGGGAGCTTTGCCTGCACGTATGTCTGTGTACCACATATGTACAATGCATGTAAAGGCCAGAAGAAGGTATCAGGTCCCCTGGAACTGGAGTTACAAGGGCTATGTGTGTGCTGCGAATCTATCCTGGGTCCTCTGGAAGAGCAGCCAGTGCTCTTAACAGGTGAGACATCTCTCCAGCCCCAGCAAAGAGTCTTAGAATGCCAAGTTTATGTCTGATAGGGAGGGAACACGGGCTGTGTTTTAAAATGTGGCTTGGATGAATTTACATTAGTAGCTTATTTGCCTAAGAACAAACAGACATGGTGACAGCTCAATGCAAGAGCAAAGACAAGTGGCATTCTTCTTAGTTCTAGTCTAGGAAAACCATAGAGAGGCAGAGAAAGGTGTCCTCAAGGCCCCTGTACTGGCCCTAGTAGGAAGTGAGGCTGTTTCTTCTACCAACTCTGAAATCCCAGGATGTTTGCACATGTGGCCTTTAACGATCCTCAGGTCCGGTGACTCAAGAGAGACCACTTCACAGACAAAGAGATAGAGGGAGACAAGAGCAAGGATTGAGTAAGCTTCTAATGAAACGAGAATAAAGTACACCTTGAGAAGGAAAGGTAGGCAGGTCAGAAAGACATGACTGCCCTGAGTCTTTGTTCTCTGTGGCTTCAACTGAGGGCTAAAATAGACTCGGGGTGACACTGTTCCTTGGCAAGAACACAGGACCCCATGCGTATAGAAACCAGGCTCTGGCCTTTCAGGTCTTTGTGTGTGCATGACTGGTGTGGAAAGCTGGGTCAGGAGGACGATGTACACACGTGCTGTGCAGAATTCACTGTGAGCGCTAGCTAAGCTGCAGAATCCCTGCTTTGCCCGTACAGGCCTGGAGACACTGGCACAGATTCACATAGAGGTCGTCTGAACCTGTCGGGGGTCTATGTGTGGGTCAAGTCAGGATGTGTGTTTTACATGGGAGAACTGGCTCACCACATTTCAGTGTTGTCAGTCTACCTGCTCTGCCCTTTGGGGCAGAGAAAATATTTCACTGCATTTTCCTACCTTTGGTTTATATTAGGCTCTGGGGCTAGTTAGAAGCTACTTGTGGACTTCCCTCTATTTAATGAAAAGCTGGCACTGGCTGATCATCTGACTCTGTACTCAGTGACAAGCAGTTGGAAGACTCTTGACTTGCTTGCTGGTAGGCCAGTATATGCAAATCTGGGACCCCCACCATTCCCTAACCCCAATAAAAAGGTGCCTATATCCTCTTGAAATCAACATGGAGGGGGCAGTCTCTCACCATCTGCCTCTCCTCTGAATGCAGTGTTAGGAAGTGCTTTTCTTTACGGTTATTTCCTCACTGATCTAAAACACAGCCCACTCACTATATAGCCATTTTTCAAGCACAACCTGCTAATGGCTATCACTTCAGCTTGTCCACCAGTTCATCAGATGAAGGAAGTGCACACAGCAGCCCTCACGCAGGTTAGCCTCCAGGAACAAGGACCGATTTCACCAAAAGCCTTCTCCTTGAAAGGGTAATTTCAAAGGTATCATTCAAAAGCTGGGCTGGAGCCATGCCTCAGTGGTTAAGAGCACTTGTTGCTGTTCCAGAGGACTTGGGCTTGCTTCCTACCGCCCACATGGTAGTTCACAACTGTCTGTAACTTCAGTCTCAGCGCACCCGATGCCCTCTTCCGACCTCTGTGGGCATTGCACAGAGGTGGTACACAGATAACTGCACAGGGGAAACACCAGTACACATAAACTAAAGAATAAAACTAAGAACTGCATGTTGACTAAAGGGAGGAGAGCAGGGTACAGCAGCTAAGAGCTGGTATGAGGCTGCAGTGTTCCAGAAGCTGGGCCTGAAGGACATGAGGACATAAAGCAGAAGATGCCTGCAGGTGGGAAGGCCTCTATATGAACTTTCTCATCTATACAGCTCTGCTAGAGTCACTCCATCTACCTTAAAGATGCATTTATTCTTATTTTATGTGTGAGTGTTTGCCCAGATGTACAAATGTGCACTCTGTGCTTTGTGCCTGCAGAAGCCAGAAGAGGGGGTATTTTAATTCCTGGAACTGGAATTTTGATGGTCATAAGCTGCCATGTAGGTGCTGGGAACTGAACTCAGGTCATTTACTAAAGCAGCCAGTGTTCACAACCACTGAGCCACCTCTCCAGTCCTACCTCTCCATGCGTGAAAGAAACTGCAGAGTAGATGAAGGAGAGTCACGTGGAATGACTAATATAAAGAAGCTAGCTAGTCTCCCCTCATCTGTGAGTGATTTCACCCAGAAAGTTGTAACTGACTGAGTGAAGATAAAAGTTCGGCTTGTTACAGACAAGCGAGGCTGTAGTTACTGACTTTCATAACTGAAATACAAAGCTACTTGAGAAGTACAAAAACATGTCTTGTGGTCACAGCACGCCCTTCTGTCTGTGACACTCAGGCTCCGTGAGTGTTGAGGGAATTGTAAATCATGCCAACTCCACTATCTTGCCAGTGTTAATTACAAGATTACGTCTGAAATGAGACTGTCTTAGCGGTCATTTCTGATTACATCTTTACAGCTATCTGGGGTATATTTTACGGATATCAGCATGCATCCACAATGACATTTAAGCACAGGTCCATAAGTCTATGATTTTAATAAACATACTGATGAAGGAAAACACAAACCTTGCACTGTCTCCTACCTGACCTCAGTAAAGTTCTTCAGGATTTTCTGATGTCAGAGCATCTCCTGCCCTGCTGCTCTGGGGAGCAGGTTTCCCACACACGATCAGGGACTGCCCTGGATCACGAAGGGGAAGCACCCACACTAAGGGGCAGGCTGGCTGCAAAATCATATTTGGATAGTTAGGATTCTTCATGCTGATCCCTTTTTCTTCACTTTAAATATACACCCCAAACCTATGAGTTGGAAAGGAGGTATTGAGAGCAGTCATGGCCAGAGGGCAGGGCCAAGTGCCTTCCAATAATAATAAGAAATATCAAGCACGTCTTTTTAATTGTAGAGTGGTGTGAGGTGAGGGCGAGGGAGAAACAGGACTGCAAGGAGGGTAAGGATCAAGGGACTCCTTTGTGTTCAAAGACCCCAAAGGAAGCCAGTCAACCTAGAGGGTACCTCCCAGCTTCCTGAGTGACTCACTGTCCCCACCAACATGCAGGGTGTGACACGGAAGATTTTGGAATGAAAACAGAATAGGCACATTATTTTACCGAAGACAGTTTTTAAAATGAAAACTTGTACAGGGCCAGGGAAAGGATGTTCGTGTTGATACAAGGTCCTGTGACTCACTAGTAACTCCATGAATATGAGGTGTGAGGTAGGAAAAACAACAGCAATGGCCATGGGCACACAGATGGAAATAAAAATAAAGGTCTCAGCAAACAAAGTACTTGCCACACAAGCCTGATGGCCTGAGTTGGAACCCCAGAACCCCATAAAGACGGAAAGAAAAAACTGACTCTACAAAGTTGTCCTGTGATGCCCACACATGCACCGTGTGCACGCGCACACACGCACACATGCACAAATGCAGAGTAATAATAAATAAATGTAAGAGAAACACAAGAAAGTCTCAGGAAATACACATCAACAAGCGGCAACTTCCACAGGCTTTAAGATATAAATCTACCACACACAAGCCAGAATCCTGAGGTTCAGAGCTCAGGATCAGAACACAAGTGGGTTTGGACCTTGGCATGGCTGGCAGGATAAAACTCTTGGACTTACGCTGGGCAATGGCGCCTTGAATCCGGTACCCCAAGATGATGGCTGCTCTCTGGAGGTCTACCTTGTTGATCAGATCTGAAGACTTGGCGGCACTGAGTCTCTCTCCATCTTGATTCTCCACAAAGTAGATGAGCTGCACTGGATCATCCTCACCCTCCAGCCGGGACACGTTCACCACCTTCAAGAGCACAGATTCCGTCAGCACTGGGGAAGCCCACGAAGCCAGATGCCCCTTCTCAGGGTTCTTAGTCCCTAGCGTGTGACTTGGGAATCTACACCAGCTCTCTTAAAAAGCTGAGTAGCACATCCAGTCCCAGGCTCTCTGCAGTGCTCTCTGATGCCAGAGAGAAGGTTAAAATGAACGCTCCTGTGTAGAACAGCAAATGGACTTTGTTTGGTTCAATGTCTTCTTTGAGACAAAGGGATCAGTAGACAGCACCGGGCAGTGTGACATCATGGGAGTGTACTACTCCTCCCTAGCTGTGACTGGTTCTACCTAATCTCTCTGGGTCTACTCAAATGTCCTGCTCTCAGCCTTACTGTACTGACATCTGGAGCCAGGGAAGTCTTTGCTCTTTAACATAGATGTCACTGCAGAACGGTCAGCAATACCCCCAGGCTCTGTCCATCACATGTCAGTACCCTCTGGACCCTCCCTCTGCCACCCAAAGTGATAGCCAAAAGCATAGCCAGGCATCCCAAATGCCTGTGAATTTATGCTGTTATAAGCCAACCAAAACTAACCTATCTTTAATCAGAATCTTGTACACTTGGTACATGAGAGCATTATATTAATACATTTCACTTGGAGGGTCTAAACTCTGACCTTCAAAAACATTCAGATCACTCAACCCTTACAGGGCTTACTTGTTGCCCTCTATCTGCTCTTCTGAGGTCAGTTCCCTAACCACACCTGCTCCCCAGCCACCTGCTCCTCCCTGGCCACACCAGACCCTAGCCACCTGCTTCTTCCTCATCACCATGCCACACTGATTAACTTGTATTAGCCATAGAATGAGAAGATAATGAAGTGACATTGAAAACTAGGTAGATTATATCGCTCTCCACTTCTACTTTTTAAGTCTGGGGTGATGGGGGGGCGGTTAGAAGCTACAATTTCTTTCTCATGGAAATCACATTTTCAGTGGTAGCCACTTTGATTAAAGACTCCACAAGCTGTCCAGTCTGGAAGGAGCCATCAGAAAGTCTAATTCCAGAAATCTTTCTGGATTACAGCTAATTAGATTTATATCAGGAACCGCAATATCCAAGGTATCTCCCAGTCAACCACTTGGGTGACTAAAAGTATGTGTGCCTTACCCAAATTATACGGCCAAATTAAAAAAAAAAAAAAAATACTGACAAGCATGTGTAAAAGACTACGAAAAATTAAATGAAAATCTCTTGAAATCCAACCAATGAGAGAAAACCACTCTAAAGACTTAACGTGTATCTCCCTGTCCTTTCCCTGTGAATTCTGGATCACTGTCAGGACTGTTCTTCCTGCTTCTCTCTACAGCTCCTTTTCCCCAGAAGCACATTTACATATTACTAATTTTTTGTTTTTCAAGATAGAGTTTCTGTGTGTAGCCTTGGCTGTGCTGGACTCATTTTATAGACCAGGTTGGTCTCAAACTCACAGCAATCAGCCTGCCCCTGCCTCCCTGAGTGCTGGGATTAAAGGCGTGTGCCACCACTGGCTCTATATTACTAATCTTTTAAATGGCTAAAGAATATTATAATACATAAATATTTACTCTTTACTCATTCCCTAAGTACTAGACAGTTATGTTGACTCAACATTTTCTTCTCTCTTTTATTAGTTTTGGAAGTGCGGAAACAGGGCCTCACTCTGAACCCTTGGCAGGCCTGGACCTAGCTATGTAGACCAGTCTGGCCTCCAACTCTTAGAGATTCATTTGCCTCTGCCTTCCAAGTTCTGGGATTATAGGTGTGCACCACCACACCTGGCTCTTTTATCAATTTTAAAATTGCACTTGTTTGTTTTGTGTGTGCCTGTGTAAGCTCAAGTGTCCCTCCTTGAACAGGTGGAAGTCAGAGAACAACTTGCAGGAGGTGGTTCTCTCCTACCATGTGAGGCCTGAGAATCAAATTAAGTCCATCAGGCTAGTCCTTGTTCAGTGTTTTCATGCTCACAAGTAGAAGAGTCTTGTACTTTGCACACATCTTTTGTATAGTTACGCAGGTCTGATCATGCTAAGGGAGGCCAGAAAAAAGAGAACAGCCTCAAGGCAATCTGCCAGGTGGCACTGGTCTCCCAGTGGACTTGGTAGACTCCCACAGACATCATATTCCTAATTAAGGAGCTTGTGTAACCAATGCTATACCTAATAACCCAAGTTTCTACTCTGTAACTCCTTTATACATAGCACACTCAGCCTTTGCTGTATGAAGCCACGGGCTACTGAATGAGGCAAGGCCTTCCTGATTCATTTTAATGTTTATTTTGTTGCATGCTTATTTATTTAATGATTTTCTCCTTTCTTTTTATTTATTAGGGTTTTTTTTTAATTTATTAGTATTTTGGGCTGGAAAGACTGTTCAGTTCAGTAGTTAAGAGCCCTCGAAGACCTGAGTCCAATTGCCAGAGCCATACTGAGAGGCTCCCAGCCAGCTGTACTGCAGCTTCAGAGGTAGCCAACAGGGCTGGCCTCCACAGGTACCTGCGCTCACATGCAAGCACCCCCTACACACATATACATAATTAAAGATAAGTATTTAAAAATCTTAGTACTCTGTAAACTTCCCCTACTGTATCTGGCAAGGAAACTATTTGGGGAGCCTAAGAACCATGCTTCTGGGTGGGGAACATGCAAGGCTGAGAGGGACACATTTGGTGAAGGTGCTGGAGGATCGAGGCAACTTGACCTACCCATGTCACTTCTGCATCTTGTTCTCAACAACACACATCCCTGCCCTGCCCACCAGGCACCTTTCACTGCTGAGTTTTACCCTAGTTTTGAGTTTCTCAAATGTGCTGTGAACCCCATTTTCTGTGATCCTCCAAGTCTGTAACCCATAAAGAAAGAAATTCATACCATTCACACAGAGACAGGAATTAAATAACAGCTCCACCTCCATTCTGTGAGTATGTGAGCTTTTTAAGTAGGTCCTTTTTCAATTCAAACAGATCCGCTTCTGTGGCCTGTCTGCCCCATTCCCAGAGTGAAGATGATTGGGGGTAACAAAAGACAACCAGGCTGGCAGGAGGTGGGGAAGATGAGATGCCTGAATAGAGGGCAGAAAATGCCCCTCTCTCTGTCTGCTCAGGACTTGCCCAGATCAATGATTCGATTCAGAAATGCCACTGGTGCCATAAGACAAGTTCAGCTGTTGGTGATTTAAAAATTGCTCTTCAAAAACCAAAGCCTTATGATGATATAGGAACCCAGCAGTAAGCTTTCTACTATGCTCCCTGCAGTCCAGAGCTGGGCCAACCAATGGCCAAGGTTTCTGTCTGGACTCTAAGTTGACTTGAAAAGCTGCCATGTTCAGAAGAACAATCAGTTTACATCAGGATTCTCCCATTTACATGAAAACAGCTGATTTCCAGCAAGCTCATCCTCTGCTCCCTACCCTCCTGACCCTCCTTTAGTGAATACCTGTACCACGCTGTTCCCAGAGGCCACGGTGGCCCTCCGCCACATTCGTCTCCTGGTGGGCACCTCACTGAGAAGCTGGGCCAGCTTGCGCTCCATCTCAGCTGGAAACACTTCATTATGGAGCTGCTTCTCCACTACACCCAGAAGGACTGTGTTCAACAAGAGACACAGAGCACTCAGAGCCAGTCAGCACATACTGGAATAGACAAAGCCTGTGTGCACGTGTGCAAAGGAGCCATATAAGATTACCACAAAACACCAATCCCCAGACAGGCAGAGAGCCTATCTATGGCAAACTGAAGAGGAGAAGCCCCAGGAGCTCAGCACTGTGGGAGCTCTAAGCACAGAGCATCTACTGAAGATGAAACAGGCATCCTGTCAGTCTAGGGATAGTACATGTTCTTATCTTGTCTTTGGACATGGACTTACGGTCTCCCTTGAGGACAGGGGATCTACTTGTTTCTTGCTATCTGTATCAGACAAAAGTATCTGAACAGATTATCAGCTTATCCTCCAGCTGATGGGAGAAACAGCCAAACTGGCTTCAAACTTCTCTGAGGTCCAGGTCTGGGCAAATCACTTCAACACTCTGAGGTCTGGAAAATGGGCCCTTTGCAACACGCAAGAGCTCAGGCACACCAAGGCTTCAGAGCCCCATGGATGGTGACTGTCCCTACTTAGACGTACTCTCTCCTTGTGAGTGGTCACTTGCTGCTTGCACACTGGGACCTGGGACTATGTCACTGTCTCTCAGAGTTCCAGGAACACATTAGAGAGACCTGCACCGAAATGTCATGTCCTCTGTCTAAATATATGGCCCTGTCAAAGGCTGCATCAACTTGAATGAGGCCAAGTCTGTCTAAATACCTGACCCTGGTCCCCAGATTTTATTTATCTAGACAACACTTTCAGAAGAAAAGATCCTTGCTTTTGAGTTCCCTCCTGCCTCAGGTCAGGAGACTGTGGATTCTAGGTAGACTCTGCCCTGGACTTGATGTATGAATTTTAAAGAAGTTCTTTCTGTGCCATAACTCAGTGGGACACATTCCCATAGCCCAAATCAAATCCCATTTCTCATTCATTCTCTGCCAAGAATTTAAAGTACATCTTGTCCTGAATTTTGGAAACAGGAGGGGTGCCTCACTCCCCATATGCCCTCACAGACTTCATAGTGTACAGTTCTCCAGACATTACATAAACTGAACATACCTGTTCTGACCCAAGAGGACTTCAGCAGTTGAGATAAGTTGAGCTGTGGGTACTGGAAGGCTGTACAAAGGAAAGAGTCAGAGAGGGAAGAAACATGTTTTCACTGGTCAGAAAGGCAAGTTTCTGGGAGTGTAGGGTAAATTATAACACATCACCCTCTCTACATTATAGCACTCTAGCACATCTTCACCATGAAGACAGACAGCCACCAGTTTCTGAGCACCTGGCCACTAGAAGGAGAGATAAGAAAGGGGCTTCCCCTGCTTCATCACAGATTGCTGTATCACACATGTCACTGTAACAGCTCCTGTATGTGTTATTCCAGAGCAAAGCACTTACAAGCTGTGTTCTTCGGAGCCAAGGACTTTCTCAGCAATGCCTCCAAGTAAAAGGAAGCATGTTCTGGTTTGCTCGGAACTGTCTCTGTGTACTCCTGCTCAGAACACTTATTATTTTAGCTGTATGTACATATATTGTACAAAAATCAAAATTGTTGCATATAAATAACCTCATTCCTGTCTACATACACACATATATATGTATATATAATGGTTTATTTTTAATCATGTGTGCACATGTGGATTTGGTACACGGGTGGGCATAAATGACACCAGAAGGGGTGTCAGAGTGCCTGGAGAAGGAGTTAATGTTGCTGCTGGTAACTGAATCCAGGTCCTCTGCAAAAGACTGTGGATGTGCTCTATTCACTAAGCCGTCTCTGTAGCCCACTATTTTTATATTTTATAGTTTATTCCTCTTAATTTAATTAATAATATATTGAAAACCATCAAGAATCATGATTTAAGCTGGGCATGGTGGTTTACACCTTTAATCCCAGCACTCAGGAGGCAGAAGCAGGCAGATCTCTGAGTTCTAGGCCAGACTAGTCTACAAAGTAAGTTCCAGAGAAGCCAGGGATTCACAGAGAAATCCTGACTCAAAAAAAAAAAAAAAAAAAAAAAAAATCATGATTTGGTTGGTCTATTTTCAAAAAGAATTTTATTTACTTGCTTTCCCTTAATTCTGGAATGTACTGCTTTCTGACGAAAACATCTCCCCACTTCTTCCCCAACTGCCTGGAAATCTGATTTCTTCAACCAGGAAGTAAGGTTCTGTTTTCATTTATTACTGTTTTATATTTTCTAATTTAATACATAATAAAGTTCACTCTTTTTGGCATCTGGTTTCACAGGTTTGGGAAAATGCAATGCTGCATAAGCACCACCAAGTGAGGATCAGGGGAGTTTCATTCTCCAGCCCCCACCCCATCTCCTCCTCCGCTGTCCTTCTGTAGTCAAATTGCCTCTCCACCTCATCCCTGTAGTTTCCAGTTCTCCAGAACCAGCACACTGTGAATATATAGTGGCCCTTTATTTTCAAAAGCAAACAGGAAAGGGAGGCACAGGGCAGAGAACAGCTCTGGAGACTGCCCTGCAAGGCTTGGCAATTAGCCAAGTATGTCCTGTGGAAAGAGAAGTCCCAGAGGACATACTGTGTGTGACACTGTGAAGGCAGGCACACAGCACTGAACACTCATTCAAACTGCAGAGACTGCGACACTGAGGACAAGCCCTACCATACACATATACACCCCACACCCAGACACACACTGACACACATATATACACACTGACACACACACTTACATACACATGTCCTACGAACACACCTTTTTTTTTCACTCTGAAAACTACAGACTCGGGGCCACTGTGTCAGTGTGTGTGTCCCCTGGCTGTGGTCAACGTGCCACTCTCGTAGGGGCTTCGTACATGAGACCAAGCAGAGCATAGAGAAAATCCTCTCTACATCCAGATCCCACTTACTGTGAGCCCGAAAGCATTCTAGAACAGTTGGGTCTCTTTTAAAGTAAACCATTTTAGAGATCTACCAAGAAACATGCGGGCGGCCCCTCCCCCAGAGTTCCCAAGGAGCCAGAAAGTACTCACGCTCCGCGATCTGCAGCACCGGGTACCCCAGGTAGAAGCTGAACTCCACCACTGTCAGGTTCCTGAGCAGATCGCTCACCTCCGACCCATTCAGAAAACCTTGCATGCCTTTAACAGCAAAGATAATATTCACTGGGCCCCTCCGGGAAGTCGCCCTCGAAGCATCAATGGTGACATTCACAATCTGAAAGAAGGAAGCCAGAAGAAGCGTCTAGAAACACATGGTGCTGAAATTCTGACTACGGTAACTATACGAGTTCCCTGATCAATGCGCTTCAAAGGGGGTAAAAAGAAGGGATTTTTTTTTTTTATTTACCTTTATTTTATGTGTACTAGTGTTTTGACTGCATGTATATCTATGTGAGCGTGTCAGATCTTGGAGTTATAGACGTTGTGAGCCGCTATGTGGGTGCTGGGACTTGAACTTGGGTCTTCTGGAAGAGCAGTCAATGCCCTTAACCACTGAGCCATCTCTCTAGCCCCTTGGTTTGGTTTTAAAAGATAGTGTCTCACTATACTGCCCAGGCCTGGAACTTCTTGCCTCAGAGTGCTGGGCTTACAGGCATGTGTTTCCAAACCTGACTTAAAAGGAGGTAAATTTTAAAAGGAAAATGAGCTGATTTTCTAACCATGTTCCTTTTCTGTTTATTGGGAATGTTTTTTACATTAAGTGATGAAGTGAACGCAGGCACTCCCCGCTCAGCCTCCAGCTCCAAATCCCACTAAAGTAACAGTAAGCCGAACAAAGGGCGGTTAAATCCACTAAGGCACGGAGAATGGAAGAAAAGCAGGGGTTCTGTCAAATTTCTAGAAGATGGAGAAAAGACAGAGTTGTGCTGAAGTAAACCAGAACTGAGAGAAACAAGACCCCAAACACACAGGCAGAGGCTAAAACAGCCTCCTTCTCCCGCAGAGAGCCTGGAGAGGCCCCCGGAGAGAGGGGAGGACCTGACCAAAGAAGTAGGTTACAGAGCAGGAATCAGTGTAACTAATTACGAGGCTGCACAGCAAGAATGAACTGAAGCCTTCCTCTCTGGCCAGCTCCACACTCAGGCCTGCACAGCCACTAGCAACGCCATCTCCCAGAACAGCCCCCAAAACTGCCCTCTAAGGAAAACAAGCCCACCCCAGAGGAGACCAGAGGCCTCTTGTGGGTTAAGACCCTCTGAGAGGAGGGCAGAAACAGGTAACTCCAGGGTACACCAGAACACTCAAGACACAAAAGAGGAATGAATGATAATGAAAGGAGATGAGTCTGTGCCATGGAAAACACCCAGCAGGGATCCAGCCCCAGAGGAGGGTGTCCACAAAGGGCAGGGCCAGTCCACCTATGTCTGTCTCTCTAACCACAGTTGTGTAGTGCTGTAGACAGAACCCTGAACTCTGGTATATTCTGGTACATGCTACCCACTCAAGAGCTCAGATGAATTCTCCCATCAGGAGACAAGGCTGACACAGAAGTAGCCTCCATAGCCAAAGGGGAAAAGTAAGGCCAACAGCCATAATTAACTCAGTTCTCCATCCCTCACCACCAACCAACCTCCTACAAACCCAGAAAAGTAGCACAAAAGCAAAAAACAAAGATTGGCATGTAGAACAATACTTCAGAGAAAACAGACATATGTGAAAATAACATAGAAGAAAACCTTTTTAAAATCCTACTTAATATCTTCAGAGACCCTGAAGGCCACTCTCTCACATCTCAGCAAAAGGCTGTAATGAAAAAGGAAAGAAGAAAAATGGGGAGAAATGACTACGCAGAAATTTCAGTATGAATGGACACAGCTGAAGGCAAAATTAGTGACTCAGAGGATGAAGTTTCCAAAGTCTCTAACAGAGAACAAAAAGATCCATACCACATGAGGAAAAATTAAGAAGCACAAAAAAGTGAATTCAGAAGTGCCAAAATCTAGAATTAACACACATTTCAGAAAGGGAACAAAGGCTGGGGAGGGAGTCATAAAACAACAGTTTGAAGACTGCACACGAAGCCAGTCTTTTGATTAAGAATCCTCTGTCTAGACGGAGACACTGACGCCCAAAGTCTTAGATTCTGAATCATTTCCTATTTTCAGGTTAGAGAAACCAATGAGTAAAATGTGTGCAAAATATCCCAAAGAAATGCAAAGGCTCTGTCATCAGAAACAATTCCAGCACCAAGCCTTTCAGATCTCAAACCGTGAGAAAAGGAAAGTGTGTTTAGGCATTCATTGACAGCACAGCTAATTTCATTCCTGTATGGAGCTGAATTTCCTGTATACAATCATCCCCCTTCAAGTTACCCTACCTGACACCCTGGTTTGCAGTCACTCTGACATCTCCAAGTCACACTGTAGACTCTGTGCCTTGCCAAAGGTCAGCTCTGGCCCACGCAAGCTAGGCCCCCTCCACTGGAGGACACATCTTTCTCTTGTCTTCTTCCCCGGAGATAGGATCTCACTATGTAGTGTTTACTGTCCTGAAATTCACTCTGTAGACCAGGTTGGCCTTGAACTCACAGAGATTCACCTGCCTCTGCCTCCCATGTGCTAGGATTAAAGGCATGCACCACCACACCACACCCAGCATGGAGGATGCATCTTAAAGGAAATTCTGTGGAGGACAGCTTTCTGCCATGCAGTCTGTGGCTAGCTCACCTGCACTGTGAGGTTATAAGTCCCCTGCTGCTTCCTCACTTCAAAGAGCGCTGTCATCAGGCCTTTCTCGATGCTCTGGGTGAAGTTACAGAAGCCAGTATCCACACTTGGAGGCACAAACTGCAGTACTGAAAAGAAAGACAGCAATGGAAGTCCCAGGAAGGAGGTGCTGCTTAAAGACCAGGAATGAAGGGAGGGACAGTACTGAAGCAAACTAGCTCACCCGTTGTCTGAGACTAAACACCACGGGTATTACTGCTCTTGTTTTTTAATATTCGCTTACTTTTACCTTACGTGTATGGATGGTTTGCCTGCAACTACGTCTGCCCTACATGTGTGTAGAGGCCAGAAGAGGACATCAGAACCTCTGGAACTGAATTTACAGATGGTTGTGAGCCACCGGGGGATGCTGTGAACTGAATTCCAGTCCTCTGCAGGACTGAATCCCAGTGTTCTTAGCTGCTGAGCATCTGTAGGCCCTCTTTTATTTTTAAAGATAGCTTTGGAAGACAAACTTTTTGTTCGTAGTTAACACAGTAATTTGGGTGAGTAAAAAGGAGTCTGTTTTCTTTCTGCTGTATATTTCAACATTTGTACACAGTGATGTATCTGTTTCTCAGAAATTTATTATTTGGGTTGGGAATTATCAAAATCATCCCTACTGGCTACTTTAGAACACAAAGCTGGGGAGTGGAGAGATGGCTCAGTGCTTGAGCACTGACTGCTCTTCCAGAGAACCCAGCTTCAATTCCCAGAATCCACATGGCAGCTCACAGTTGTTTAACTCTAGTCCCAGATGATCCAACATCTTCCTCTGGCCTCTGGGGACACTGCACACACATGGTACACAGACACAAGAGGCAGAATACTTACACACTTAAAACAACATGAAGTGCTTTTTTTTTTTAATTTAAATATACAGCTGATGGTTGTAGACCAAATGTCTCCTACTAGGTCACAAGACAAAGTCATTCCTCCGATCCAGCTGCCTGCTGGGGAGTTGGCTCCTCCCCAGACTCTGTCCGGAAATCACTACTCTACACCCTCCTTTCCGATCTGCTTCCACCTAAGTGAGAACATGTGGTATCTGTCTTTTGTTTCTGATAGTTCACTGAGTCTAAAGCCCTTCAGCTCCATGGGTGCAAACTGCAGGGTTTTGTTCTCTGTGGCTGAATGAAACTCGTTTACGTGTATACACCATAATTCTCCGTCACCTGTCAATGAACACAAAGGGTGACTGCCTATCCTGCTTAGTGTGAATACAGCTGCAAAAACACACAGGTGATATCTCTTCAGCATATAACTTTGTTGCATTTACACACAGCAGTGTGACCACTGGACCATACAATAAACTTTCAGCGTCCTATAATGCCTGTATAATCAACATTACATGATCGGGGTAAAAGTAAGACAGCCTGAGCTATATTTCGAGACTCTGTCTTTAAAAACAAAGCAGAGGGGCTGGAAAGATGGCTCAGCGGTTAAGCACTGACTGCTCTTCCAGAGGTCCTGAGTTCAATTACCAGAAACCACATGGTGGCTCAGAACCATCTACACCCTCTACTGCCCTCTTAAAGCACAAATATGCATAAAATAAATAAATAAAATCTTTAAAAAAAAAAAAAAAAACATAGCCTTACTGATCTTGCAGAGGGCCTGGGAAACTACATGGTGGAAGGAGAGAATGTACAAATTCTCTAATCTTCACGTGTACGCTGCAGCACCCACGTGCTCATGTGTGTACACATGCACACATACTAAACAAATAAAATGCACATGCACACACACAAAATCTAAACAGACAAAACACAGCACCTGTAAGATCACCTTTCTCTGCGCCCTCATCACCATTGGCTAATACCCTCTTTTCAATAAGCTGTTCTGAGGCAAGAGGATATCTTGTTACAGTTTTGATGTGCATTTCTCTGCTCGGTGGCTCTGGGCCTTTCTTTGCATGTCTTTACTGGCCGTTTGCAAAGCCTGCTTTGACAATGCTTATTCTGGACATGTGCCCATTGTGTGTGGAGGGTACACAGTAGGGGTACATATGTGTGTACACCTACGTGTGGATGCCAGAAACCAATGTGAGGAGCCTTCTTCAACTGCTCTCCAGCCAAAGCTTGAGACCTGGTCTCTCGAGGAATCTGGACCTTGCTGGTTTAGCTAGAATGGCTGGTTAGCAAGCCCCAGGGATCCTCCTGTATCAGTGTCCTCACTGCTGGGTTACAACAGATTTCCACTCATTTTCTACCTCAGTGCTGAGGACTGAACTCAGGTCTCCATGCTGGCTGTACAAAAAACTTGGTATGAACCCATTAGTCAATTTTTGCTTTGGGTGCCTATAATTTCATGGTCATATAAAAAAAAAAAATCTTTGCACAGAGCAATATCCTAAAAGTATTTCTTCGGTATTTATTACCATTTTTGCAGGTTAAGATCTTACATTGGTATCTATTTGATATGGTGAGAGATAAAGGTCTAGTTCTCTTCTATAAAGACATTCAGTTTTCCCTATATGGTTTACTGACAAGACCGTACGTTCTCCAACATATGCTCTTGTTGTTTCTGTCAAAAGTCAGTGAGTCTGTTTCTGCATTTCCTGTTCTGCTCGGTTGTCTCCATGTCTGCTCTTCTACAACATCATGCCGGTTTGGTTACTACCACTTTGTAACACATTGTGAGATGGGATATTATAATGTCTCCAGCATGCTTTTCACTCAGCCTAGTGTATTTGTTCGCTTAGGGAATTTTTCCATACAAATTTCAGAAGCGCCCCCCCCCCCACCTTTTACACCTGTGAAAATGTCGTTAGTATTTTCACAGGAACTGCAAGGAACCTAGAGATCACCTAGAACATGGACATTTTTTTTCTTTTAATTTTTTTTCTTCAACTTCTTTCTTTTCCAGGTAATCCATCAAGTACTTCTCCGGGTTACAGGGTGATACTGCCTGGTTGCTTTCTGGAGCCAAGAATGAGTCATATTATTTCAACTTTTCATCTCATAGAGAATGTAGGAAGCCAACTTATCACCACATGAACACATGCAATGAAGGTAAGTGGCATGCCTGTGGGCTCAGCTACTTAGGAGGCTGGGGCACAAAAATCACTTGGGACCAGTTCAAGTCCAGTTACAAACCTACACATCAGAAGATGAAATTCTTAACACTCCAAACATATAAACTATTCATTACAGATGAAGTATTAAGTACATGTAGGCAAAATGACATGACACCTGGCATCACATTAAAACATTCTTGCTTCTTCAAAAAAGTTTTACCAATTTTGCTTTAAAATTGGTAAAAATCTTGATTATGTTTAAGCTTATTAATAAACACATGCAAACTTAATGCCATGTATTCTACTTTTGTACATGATTGAAAATGTCCACAATAAAAGTTTAAATAAGATTTTAAGCAACTACGGTTAACTTTAAGGAGTGTGATGAGATGGACGGATGTGCTTAACAGTCCTTTTCCTGCAGAAGCACAGGCTGAAACACAGTGCAATTATACAGTCCTTAAAGTTTACTATAAAATAAGGTAAAGAAAAGTAGCTGGGAGCAAAGGTAAAAAAATCTGACTGAGAATTAAAAATTACTATGATCAGGGAGACAGTTTAAACAGTAAGATGCCGTGCCTTGCAAGCATAAGGACCGTCCCCTGAACCCACATTTGAACAGCCAGGCACAGTGGAGTTTGCTGGCAATCACAGTGCTGGGGTGGCTCAGACAGGCAGGTGTCCCATGCTCAGACCAGCCAGACTAGCTTACTTGGTGGGTTCCAGACCAGTGAAGCCTGTCTCAAGAACCAAGGTGTGCAGCACCTGCGGAATGACTCCTAAGGCTGTTCGCTGGCCTCCTCATGAATGTACACATGCACGCGTGTCAGCACACTCACGAAAGGCTCATTAAACTAGTCTGTGTGCCTCTGTAAATGCTTGACTTTTTCTTGTAACTGTGAAGCTGCTGGCGTTGCTGTTGGTTACGTAACAGGCCCACAGATCAAGTCTGTCTCAACAAATAAATGAATAATTTAAAAACAATACTCACTTTAATTTTTTGAGAGTTTGATTATCTTTATGTGTGTGGTCGTTTTGACTGCTTGACTATGCACTACATGTGTGCACAATCCTCAGTCTTTACACTTATTTTTACGTAAGTGCACACAAAAGGACAACCCAAAAGGTTCTTCCTTTCTACCATTTGGGTTCCAGGGGTTAAACCCAGGTCTTAAGTCTGTCGGCAAGGATCATCACCAGCACAGAAGCCAGTGAGATGGCTAAAAATATGTATTAAAAAAATAAAATAAAATTCTACATACAAATGCAAACATCTCTACTCAGTTGTCTCACCTGTTTGAACTTGAAACCTGGGATCTGGCACGAGGAACGATGGTTTCACAGACAAGATTAAAGGAGTCTGGTCACGAACAAGTTTGCTATTGATGAGGACATTAATGACTGATATCGCCGTGTAAACAAAAGGACCAGATGTTACCAGAAAAGTGAAGTCTGTGAACAGTTCATAAACCTAGAGAAATAAAAAAAAAAAAAATTTAAAAAGACAATTCAAACTTAAAGAAAACTACGTTGGAAAGGAAAAATAATAAGTAAAATAATATAAATATCAGTAGCTTAAATGGAAGGATAGATGCTTCAAAGATAATCAAGATTTTATTTTATGCATTCCTTTTGTTATACCAAATTTTACACAAACAGCACAAAAAAGCACAGGAGCAGCGAGATAGCCAGTAATATGGGCTAAAAAGTGAGCTATGGAAAAATCAAGATTTCTGTCATGTTTAAGTCACACATGGGAGCCGCTGTTTCACTGAGCCTCACTGTTTAAAATAACACAATGACTGCCTTAAACAATTTGAAAGTATATGGCATCCACATTAAAAGTAGAGGAATGGAGAGAGCTAATTTTAAATACATGTCACTTAATACAGGAAACATCATTCCAATGTGTAGTCAGTACAAAAGATTATTGGTGATATATTCTACATTCCTTTATTTGGTGTAGTTTTGAGATCTGGCATGCAATTACACTCACCATGCATCTCATTAGGTCATGCCAAGCCCATTTAACACGACCCCTGGCCAGTCTGACTTGTGGCTCTGGTTAGACAATGGGTCAGAACTAATTAGAGCACAGCTTGCTGGGCTCATTTGGGAAGGGGATACCATCAGTGGGTGGAACATAAACAGGGTAGAAATCCATCTTGGTAGCACTAAATGTACAGAGAGACATAAATATCCTCATCCTGAAACTAACACAAGCCCCAGTCATTTATTAAAGTAACTCAAGGATAGCTAAATTGTTAAGGTTGTCTAAAACTATGCTGCCTCTGGTCTATAGACTCTTTATTCCAATTCTACAAATGCATGCCCCACCACAGGGTAAAGAGACATGTGAGCGGAAATATAGAGGAAAACTAGCATACCAAGAGAGTGGTGAGAGAGAACATTCAAAGGGCAGAGCCCAAGGCTCTTACCACACCCCATGTGACCCAGAAATTATGCCAGACATTCAGACTCCAGGGTCCGGGTCTCACCTTCAGCTCCACCACGCGATTGAAGTGAATTCTCAACACTTCCTTGATTGATGTAATGATGTACTCCTGCACAGCTCGCCTGGCCAGCACTATAAATGAAAGCCAATCACCAGATGCATTTTAGTGCTATCATGAAAGCATGAAGGTGTCACTTCAGGAAGCCATGGCTGAGACGAAGCATGCTAGCAGCTTGTTTTGAAAAATAAGGCCCAGACTAAAGACAGAGCATAAAGATCTAAGTGTTGGGAAGTATTACAGGAAACAGAAAAGCTGGGCAAGGACAGGGAGCTTCTAGTTCCCACTTTCTTCTCAACAATTAACAGAATGTCTTCATCTATGCAGTCAATGGCAAAGGATGAGGCTTTAAAAGCTCTCAGAAGTGGTATTTTTCAAAGTCTTTGAGATGCTATTCAGTGAACTGGGAATATCTTCCTCTATAGGAGGACAGCTGCACTGAGTGTTCGAAGAGCTGTTGGGAGTGCTAACAACTACTGCTGAGTGGGAAAACTCTTCATAATGTCCAAGTAGTAACATTTTAAAAAGAAAATAAAATATTTCTCGTTTCAGTTTCTAGTTCTTTCTATTCATTTTTCACCTGAAAGTCCAACTTTAAAATCTGTGCTGTGGCTAGAGAGCTGGCTCTGTGGTAAGGACCCAGGCTGAATTCCCATAGCCCACATCAGGCAGCTCACAACCTCCAATTCCAGAGGATCTAAGCACCCTCTCCTGGCCTTTACAGACATCTGTATTCACACAGTTACAGTTACACACACACATTTTAAAGATATAAAAATATCTTTAAAAATAAATAAAACAACTATAAATCTGTGCCAGTAAGTATGTGTGCTTCCCAATACTCAGTAAACCTTCCCTCTACCTTCTAGGGTTTTTCCTTCCCCTTCCAGTCCATTTGTAGAATTATAATATAGCTGGGTTGTTATTCTTTTTTATGTTTTATTTATGTATATGTGTGTCTATAGATTACACATATGTGCAGGTGACTGTGGAAAACAAAAGAAGTCAACTGGAGCCAGTCAACTCTGGAGCCAGAGTTGCAAGCAGCTGACATGGGTGCTGGGACTTGAACTCTGGTCTTCTGCAAGAGCAGCATGCTCTCTTAACTATTGAACCATCTCTCTAGCCCCACTATTCAATTTTTCACTATACTGTCTTAATTATTAAGACTGAAGACAGAACCGTCCCTCATTCTTTATTCAATATAAAAACAAATGCTTAAGCTGTTTGATTCTTTCTCCAGTAAGTCAGCGACACATGGTAAAAAGGTGGGGAGTGTCATTTCTTTAATTCATGGAGTCATTGCAACAAATCCATGGCCCCTGTCTGACTACCCTAGCTGATCCTCCCTACAGACAAGTTGGGCATGGCCTGCTAGTTTCTGAGTGGACCAGAAAAACAAAATGAGTAGGAAGGTAATGAAGGAGGGAGGAGAGAAAGCAGGAGGATCTAAACTTAAGGAAAGTGGGGTGTAACTGAAACCCCAAATCAGAAGAACTCAATGGAGGCAGGGGTACAGACTACGTGAAGCTACAGGAAGCACTCAGGATAGCAGAGTGCTGCTCAATGGTCCCCACTGCCTACCACCAGAACTACCAACTTCTCTGGTTAATCTGAGGAAGATAAGAAACTGCAGCCCTGTGATACAAGGACATAAGTCTGGAAAGCAGGAACACCCATTAACATGTACCATACAAATTGATTTCCAGCTATCTACAGTTTCTCCAAAGCCAAGAAAAGAGAGCTGTGGAGAGCTTCAAAGGCTGTTTGGCTCCCTCAGTGGAGTCCAAGCATCTTCCTACAACCATCACAGATCAGTACCCCCTAAGTGGCTCCAATTTATTATTATAGAGGTCCATAAAAAAAAAAATGCCTCCACCCTTGTCTAGATTCTTTCCCTGGCAGACAGCTGCTAAGAAGAAAGAAGCCGATACCCGTGCGGACGCAGCTGACCTGATGTCTGTCCACAACAATGTGACAACACAGCACTGCTAATTAGCAAAACTGCTGACATACAGGCTCACAACTGCTTCATGAACAGTTAAACGCACTCAAATAAAGGACACCAAATGCCATTAAACATATATCACATATGCAACTTAAAATTATACTGTGATAGCTGATAGTCACAGACTTCTGAAATAGCTTCTAATTATTTATAGAAAAAAATGTAAAATGTGCACTATCATTACCTATCTTAAACACCATGATTTCTAATTTTAAAAGGCTTTCAATAGTTTTTTTCAAGCTCCTATAGAACCAACCAGTTTGATGCTGCTTTGTGATTGTTTTGCAAGAAGAAAGAAAAAGTATTTAGCTTATAGTAAACAAATAAATAAGTAAATCAAACTTTTTCTACCTAGCCTGCCTAGCCTGCTCTAATCTGCAGGTTAAATTTGCTAATTTTGTTTCAACTTTTCTACCCACTCGACATTTCCTACCCATTCCCCTCCCTATCTGGTCTAACTTCCATTCTACAGAGTGTCCACTGAAGGACATCTTCCGTCCATTTCCAGTCTACTCTTACTCTGGCACGAGATTTTAATTTCACTTCCTTCTGAACTGAGTTTTCCCCATTCTTATTACAGTTACCAAGAGAACACTGGTTGAAGGGGAGCACATGCTGATAGCTCAAAAGACACCATGTCCACTCAGGTCAAGTGTGGCGAAGAAAAACCACAGTCCCAAGAACTTATCATCCCTGAGATCCATCTTCTCAGGCACAGCCTCAGATAAGCTATGGGTTAATGCAGACAGCAAGCGACAGATAGTGTCGCTGAAAGAGACACAGCAGTTTGAGTGCTACCAAGCAAGCCTGCAGACCGGACAGGGGACCATAGTGTAGCCAAAATTACAGGACAATTGTCCATTCAATCTTTTCCTCCTCTGGATCCAACTGACACAAGAATACATAAAAGCAAAGGTTAAAAAATCATTATATTAGTAAGAAAATATGTGTTGTCCTGACACAGTTGCCCAACTCGTGGCTTGAAGTAAACAAGAACATGTTTTGTTTCAACCATGACATCTACGTGCATGCTGGACAATGAGCTCCACATCTCGTTCAAATCTTTTATCTGTCTTTCCAGTAATTACTAACCAACACGCAACAGGGTATGGTCACTTCCTAGGTGCTATGTATTTCACACATTCAAGTCTTTACAGTAAGCTAATGGAGCTAGTATCACGACGGTCCTTGTTTAACCCTGTGAAAGCAGATTAAGAGGCTGAGTAACTGGATAGCTGGCATGAGGCTGGCAGGGGAATAGGGCTGCTACCCACAGGTTACGTGACACCAACACCTACTCTCACAACCACGACGGTACGTCTTTTGAGTGCTGCACACAAACACCTTGGAGAAGTCCCCTACCTCAGAGAGGTGTCTGGAAGCAGGGCCTTACCAGTTGTGATCAAATAGGCATCGGGAACTGTAATATCACACACATATGGCGGCTTGGCTGTGGCCAGTGCTGGTGTACCAACTGTGGCTTCGAGCGTGGAGGTGCTTACAGGACCGAGGGAGGGTTGGGGAGGGGGTACACTGTTCCCCTGAGGGTTCTGACTCATAGGCTCGCTGTTCGGAGCAGAGTCCACAGTATCACCAGGGGCAGTGCTGGTGTTGGACATGCTTGGTTCCGGGGATGTACTTGGTTCTGGGGACGTACTGGGTGGTAAATCTGTGAGTGTCAATGATGAGCCCATGACTGGCTTTGTGGGCAGAGGTGAAGGGCTTACTTCGGAAGCAAGTGATGAGGAGGCTGACAGGTATGGATCAGAGATCGACTCTGTACTGGTCGCTATGACACTGGAGGACGTGGTTAAAACAGGAGTGTGATGATCTGTCGCATGCACGCTGCCATCAGAGAGTGTCAGAGTCAAGAATGGAGATGACTCAGTTAAAATGGGTGTCAAATAGAAAACAGTTGGCAGTGATATGAAGTGAGTCCCAGCTGTGGAAATGCCAAGGGTGGGCTCAGAGATGGAGGGCACCAGTGTGCTGTCTGTGGGTTTATGAGGAATGGGTGAAAATTCAAAGGCAGAGGTAGTTTCAGAGAAAGCTGAGGTAAGATGAACATCGGACTCTACCAGTGAAACTCTCGATGCTTTGGCGAACTTGAGAGACTCAGAGGGAGAGCTTGAAAGTGGGGGCATTTCAGAGTGAGTAGGAAGAAAAGTGACTGTCTTCAAAAGAAGGTCTGAACTTGACCACAGCTGAGACGGCTCTAGACTTGGGGCATTAAGAACAGAAAGCTGAGGTGATTGCAAACTGATAGAGTTGAACAATGACAATGTCTCAGCCATGGTGGGAAGAGTTTGAGAAAAGAAGGTTGATGGATCGCTTGACATCAAAGATGGAAAAGCAAGATCGTCTGACCGTGAAGGGGCCGGAGTGCTGGAGTCCAGGGGTGGAGTTGAGTAAAAGCTGGAAGGGAAATCCAAAAGACTTCTAGACTCGAGTTCCAGAAAGCTGGTAGATTTTTCTTGGTCAGAAAAAAATTTAGACTCTACTGAGGGGACCAGATTGTGAGAGGTGAGAAGGCTTGGGCTTCCAGTTGGAAGGGATGACATATTTTGACTTGTAGTCAAGGAGAAAGATGAGTCAAAATGGGAGCTGGTGATGACCGAGGACAACAGATGGGTTATACTGGATGGCATCACTTGATCACTGGTGGCAGAGAAGCCGAAAGTGGAATCCAGTGAGCTTGGTGTGGAGAGGAGGCCGTACGAAGGGTACACCTGAGTGATAATGCCACTCATACCCGCCTCGGGAGACATATCCATGCTGGCTTGCCACAGCCCCACGGAACTGGAAGAAAGAGAAACCACAGGTCTGGAAGGGGAAAGTGTATTAAATTCTTGAAGATCTTCCAGTTCAGAGAGGGCTGTGCCCATGCTGCTCAATGGAGAGAGCCGGCTTGCTTCTGAGGCCACAGACGAAGTCTCAAGCCTGTCCTCTGTTTCCACAGGCTTCTCTGTGAGGCTGCTGGCCACAACTTGCTGAGATGATGAGACAGCACAGGACACACACCATGTGTATGGTCCCTGGGAAGCCTTGGGGCTCAGGACATGAGGATGCTCAGTGAAACTGGGGACCATGGAGCTGTTCGGTGACTCTAAGGTTTCCCTGGCCTTGTCAGAGAGGAAGGGGTTATCTGAAACTCCAGGTGACTGAGTAGTGAAAGACATGGATGAAAGTGAGGTTGAAAATAAAGAAGGAGGTGGTAGGCTGCTGAAAACAGGGTCTGTAGGCGACGTGCTTGCACTGGGGTGTGTTCTTGGAGAAATGGCTTCTTCTAGAAGTCCACTCCAGGCAGTGGTCTCATTAGGGTATCCGTCTGTGCTGGTGGCCACGACACCCAGTAGAGGCTGTGAGACCTCCCACAGGGGAACAGATGGCTGTTGAGTCATGCCATTGCCTAGCGGCTGAGACCCTGAAATCCAGGAGCTGAAAAGGAGGTTTTCTGCACCCTCTGTTACAGAAGCTACAATCTCTGGCAAAGCCTTGCTTGATAACTGGCTGTGAATTCCTGTAGGATGAAGCACCACATTCCTACTGGGAGTTGGAATGATGCCCTCAGATGTGACAAAAGCTGACCAAGAAGTGCTGAAGTAACTGGAGGACTCTACACGCAGAGTTGCTTGTTGCGCTGTGCTCTGACATCCCGGCAGCACTTCGTCCTGCAGAGAAACCGTGGGTAGTATGGGAGTCATCTCCTCGGGTGGCTCTAGAGGGCCCAGTGTGATATACTGCACTGGGGAAACCACTCGTGAAGAGGTCCAGTGGGCATCTGGCAAAAAGTTGTCCATCTCCTCATCCATGGCTATCTCGTTACTTGTCACGGATCCATAATTTGCCTCAAAGATGCTGTGCTCTGCTGTACTTTGAGTCTGTTGTTTGTGGTTTAAAAAGGCTGTATCAAAAGTAGTAGCAGGTGGAGAGGACAGGACAAGGACAGACATGCTTGGCTGGAACCCTGGAACAGTCTCTGTTAAGGCCACATGTGCAGCACTGTGCATGACGCTGGTCTCTGTCAGGAATTCCACAGGGTGTAAAGAAGGGCTGTGCTGTTCCAGGGGGAGCTCATCTAGTAAGAAAAGAAAAGCTGAGTTAGCTGCCGTACAAAGAGTAAAAGTGTCAATACTCACCTCAGATGTAAAAATCCACCCATTCAAAAACTACCTATTCACTAAGACTGGAGAGAGAGCTCTCTAGCTAAATGCACTAGCTGTTCTTGCAGAGGACCCAAATTCAGTTCCCAACACCCATGTGACAACTCGCAACTTCTGTAACGCCAAGCCCAGGGGATCAAGCACCCTCTTTTGGCCTCTGCATGTACCAAACATGTAAAATAATGAAAAAAGATTCATACACATAAAATACAAATAAATATCTTTTAAAAAAAATCCATTCATTATGAACAGACACAGTTTGTAGAAATTCTGGTTGGAAGCTAGACAATGCCAAAAGCAGTATCAGGACAATATACACAAATAGTCACACACCTGAGCACCAAGTTCACTTAAGCCTGTATGGTGTATTACACACATACCTTATTTCATACCCGAAGAGCCCTTTGTCCCACATGTGTGTGAAATGGTGCAGATAATATTTAATTCATTCTATTTTATGAGCAGCATCTTAATAAGAGGGGGAATATGGATATACACATACAGGGAGGAAAACATGAAAAAGAGAGTACATTAAGGTAGTGTAACCACAATCCAAAGAGTGCCTACCAATCACCAGGAGCTAGGAGGGGAGGGGCCAGCATGGAGCAGATTGTCCTTCACAGTCCTCAAGAGGCAATCAACAGTGCTGGCATTTGACCTTGGGTTTCTATACTCCAGAAAGGAAACAGCTAATTTCTACAGTTTAAGCACCAAAGGAAAATATCTGCCTCAACTTGGACTCTTTGTAGCATTTATGTAAAATTTCTCACCAGGGTTAGAACCTGCATCATTTCTGTGGTCCTAATAAACTGCCCCAGAGTCCTAAGTTAAGACATGCTGGTCTTCGAGCCAATCCGTCCTTAGGCTAGGCTTACTGTCCCGTTCCTATCATCCCAGCTACTAGTGAGGCTGTGGCAAGAGGATGACTTGAGCTACTCAGCTTGAAAGCGGGTTGGCAATATAGTGTGAGATCATCTCTCTAGGGGAAAACACACAAAAACGTGGCCAGAAAAAGTCATACTAGACATCAAACACTTCCTTTAGCTATCAATCAAATAAATACTGACACAGAAATGAAAATTCTAAGACACATAAGGAAATAACATACCATTAAAAGGCTGAGAGGAAAGACAAGCTTGCTTTTAATATCAGCACAGAGGCCTGTGGATGGACCTCTGTGTGTTCAAGGCCAGCTTCATCTACCCACAGCTACATAGTAACACCATGTCTCAAAAATCAAACAAACAGAACAAAAAAGGCTGAGAGAAACCCTACATTAAGAAGCTAAGCAAAAAGAAGGACCCTGGGTAAGATGATCAATCCTCACTCAAAAAGGCAAACAGGATAGACTTCGGAAGAGGGAGCAAACAGGGAACAGGACAGGAACCTACCATAGAGGACCTCTGAAAGACTCTACCCTGTAGGGTATCAAAGCAGAGGCTGAGACTTAAAGCCAAATTTTTGGGCAGAGTGCAGGGAATCTTATTAAAGAAGGGGGAGATAGAAAGACCTGGAGGAGACAGGAGCTCCACAAGGAGAGCAACAGAACCAAAAAACCTGAGCCCAGGGGTCATTTCTGTGACTGATACTCCAACCAAGGGACCATTCATGGAGATAACCTAGAAGCCCTGCACAGATGTAGCCCATGGAGCTCAGTGTCCAAGTGGGTTCCCTAGTAATGGGAACAGGGACTGTCTCTGACATGAACTCAGGGGCTGGCTCTTTGATCGCCTCCCCCTGAGCGGGTAGCAGCCTTATCAGGCCACAGAGGAAGACAATGCAGCTAGTCCTGATGAGACCTGATAGGCTAGGATCAGATGGAAGGGGAGGAGGACCTCCCCTATCAGTGGACTTGGGGAGGGGCATCGAAGGAGATGAGGGAGGAAAGGTGGGATTGGGAGGGAACAAGGGAAGGGGCTACAGCAGGGATACAAAGTGAATAAACTGTAATTAATAAAAAATAAAATAAATTTTTTAAAAGTCAAAAGAAACCCCACACACACATCAGATCTGTAGACTTCAAATACTAGAATTACAGGATATGTGTTTTGTTTTGTTTTTTTTAATTCACATAAAATAATACAGAAGAGCTGAATATACGAGTAAAGAGAATGAGACTGGCCAGAAATATTTTTAAAAGAGCATTTAGAAATGAAAAGTGTTATAATTTGAGCCGGGTGTGTTAGCCCACCTTTAAATCTCAGTACTCAGGAGGCAGAGGTAGGCAGATCTCAGAAAATGTAAGGATTGCCCGGTCTACATGAATAGCTCCAATACAACCAGGATTATATAGAAACACTGCCTCAAAAACACAAAAGAAAAGAAAAAGGAAAATACTATAATTAAACATTTAAAAGTCAGTATACATACAAAACCACAGCTTAAACATTGCTGAAATGAGATTCAATAAATGGAGGGAGAAATATCTGAAGACTTTACTCAGAACTGGAAACAGAGAAACAAATGCAAAATATATTTTTAAAAAACAAAAACAAATAATGGCGCCTCAAAGATGCAGCAGCTAGCAGTGCCTCCCACCAAGCCTGATAACCTGAGTTCACTCCCAGAAGCCCACAGGTGGAAGAGCAGAGCCAACTCCCAAAAGTTGTCGGTACACTCTTATAAAAGTTTAGAAAAAAAAGCTAATCAAGAGTAGTAGGGTGCAATATTGATAGTACAGCTTTTTAAACTCATTAAGACGCTCAAACCCATCAATTCAAAGAGGCCATGTCACAAGCCAGGTAACTTTTTTTAAAGACATGCACGTATACTAGAGTCCATGGAATATGAAAGCCAAGGAAAACCATAAGCCGAGCCAGAGAAAGAAGATGGCAGTTAAATGATCCCACAGCCACCTCACAGAACAGAAGCTACACCACAATGGAACAAAACCTTCAAGCCACGGGGACTTTGGGTTTCAATAAAAATTAAACCTCTAGCAAAAAGATACAAAAAAAAAAAAAAAAACCATACTAAGGACTAGAAGATGCCATCTCAGGAGGTTTATTCTCTCTGCCAACCCCCCGCCCCCCCAGAGGAGGGGGCAGTCACCAGCAGCAGCTGCAATGCCATTGGGAATTACCTCTGTAGTTAATTCAGGAAGAGGTTAGAAAGCCCAGGTGAGGCTCTCTCTCCACACAAAAGGCACCAGAGAGTCTCATTTCAAGCCCTGGAGATCAGTTTCCAAGTTATAAAGCTTTAGATCACCCAAGAGTGAAAGGTTTTTGGTTAATTTTTTTTTCTCTTTGATGACAGAGAAGGGAAAAGGGCTCCCGGAGACGTGCTGTTTCTCAGGGAGTAATGTGGGGGTGCAAATGACTAACACTGGGTGCTGTGGAAAAAGCAAACACTGCCCAGCAACTTTGCAGTGTCCAATTCTCTCCCAACTGACTGAGGTCTGAGAGTTTGTCCCCATGGGCCTGAATGGAGGCGCTTTCTCCCCACATCACTTTCACTGGGTGCCTACTTGAGACGTGGCCACGCTAGATATTCCGGCCCAGAAACTGCCCATATGCCCTCACCACGCCAGGCTTGTCCAGTCACACCCAACTGCCTGTCTGAGACTCGTGCAGGCAAAATAACTATGGCATTCTTAAATGTTTTAAAGTCATTTTATTCTATCCCAAAGTCTTTTGTAACTATAGCAGAACATTATTGAATCCATGGACTATTTCAGCCAACTGGATCTCTTTAAGACCCCAGCCAATCCCCTCCTGTCACAAGTGAAGCTTATGGGGTTTTATCTGGCTTGCTGAAAATATCCCCACCTCCTGGGGGAGGGGGGTCAGGGCTACAAAGGCAGTTTGTAGGCTCTTCACACCTCACCATGTTTTGCCAAAACCAGTCTATTTTAACCAAAATGCTTGAAAAAGTAAGTTGAAAAGCAGACCGTGTTGTGTTCTGTTAACTGAGCAGAAAATACATGATAAATTTGGCTACTGGAATCTACCTAACGCTGTCTGTTTTAGACAGAGTTCTACTGCCAACCTATGGGTACCACCAGGCCACAGGCCTGAATGCTGGAAAAAAAAAAAAGGACAATCTCTCTCAGAGTTGGTCTAGGGAACCACACTGTCACCCATCTCTAAAGAGCTTTACTCCAAATGGAACTACTGTTTTTGTTTCTTTGCTAAATTGTGTAATTTTCAAAACACAATGATTTATCTCAGCGAGCTGTGGATATTCAACCTACAAAACAAAACAAGGCCCCATGGATGCCTCAGACTTAAAAGACTAAAGCAGGCAGATGAAACTGTTGACCAGCTTGGCGAATCTTCACCAACTTTTCTCCCTGCAGTTGTCAAAATGTCATGAGGAGGATTTTCAGTGCCTTCCCACACCTTTCATCTTTTAAAAAGCAGTGCCTTCCTTCTCCTCCCCCAGCCGCAAGCATGTACCAATGTCTTCTGCCAAGCTGCTCTGTCCTCTATCTGGCACTAGTTCCCAAATACCAGGCAGATAAGAAGTACTATTTCATACATGTATGTGTGCATGTATATGTCACTTATATGGATAATACAAGGAACGCCTGGCTACCCGTGATCCAGTTTGGTCCTGACCTTTGACATCTCACTCCCCCACTCCTCACCCATTAGCTTCAGGGGTACTTATTTTGAATCCTGTATTTCTCATATCCTCCTTTTTAAAAAGATAACCAACCACAAGAACTCATGTTTTCAAACTTTATCATGTTGGAACTGCATGGTCTATATAATTTCATCACAACTTAATTTCTCATTCCCTGTTATTTTCAGACTGCTATTGCATGTAGCCAATGCTCTTCAATTGATCTTAGCCAATACACCAAGAAGCGATAATCATTTTCACTAAACATAAATTCTATCACACACACACATACACACACACACAAAAAAATGTATTTATTCCTTCTAATGTAGATGACTAGTTGGACCAC